GGTTCCTTGTACCTATTTTTTTTCTTGTGTTCTCCTCTATAGTAGCCAATTCAAGTTGCTCTGCCGCTTTCCTTCTAACAGGGTCCCCCCACCCCACCCCTTCCTGGCTCTGGGGAAGGCCTCTCCATCTGGAAACATTTAACATGTACAACAATTTTAATCTTGTGCAAGGGAGTCTTAGGATGCGCACTACATACCCATTAAGCTAAATTATAGGTGCACAGTCTTACTTTGCACAGCTCCGTCTGGGCTGGGTTTGCACACACAACAAAGGCCGTTACTGTCTTTCCCAATTACCCTTTCTACTATACCATCATTTTCCACAACCTCGGTCTGAAGCCCCATAGAATTTCTCTGAGAAACTCTGGCCCCCAAGGTCCCAAGACAAAGCTGCTGTCTTAGGTTTAAGACAAAGGCGCCCTCTTCAGAGCCTCTTCAGCCAGCACTTAGTAGGTCCCTAAACACTGACCAAAGACATTTTCTTGAATTTGGCTTCTCGTTCGTACAGACCCTCATCTAATTAAATAGGCCTGAGTACAAGTTCCAGCTTGCTACTTAATCACTGTATAACTTTGGGGGTTATTTTACTTTCCCTGTTCCAATTTCCCAATCTGTAAATTGGGTATGATAACTGTACTTACCTCACAGAGTTGTTGTGAAGATTAAATGAGATGTTTCCTGTAAAAACCTTAATTTATTGCATGGAGCTAGGGAGGTGTTGGTCAAAGGATACCACGTTTCAGTTATACGGAAGGAATAAGTTTCAGAAATCTAATAAATGGCACCACGACCACGGTTAATAATAATGTGTATTTTCAAACTGTTAAGGGTAGATTTTAAAAGTTCTTACCACAAAAAATGGTAAGTATATAAAGTGATGAATATGTTAATTAGCTTAATTTAGTCATTCCATAATGTAAACGTGTATCAAAACATTATACTATATCCCAAATATAGACAAACATATGATTATTTGTCAATTATAAATAAACTTGATATGTTGTCTCACCCAGCCTAAGTACTTAATAACAATTAGTTTTATTATTATTGAAACTGCCACACTTTAGTCAACTCTACAACCTTCCTAAGAACGTTTAAATTTTTGCAGAGGTTGACAGTTTCCTTCTAAATCCTCTCCACTCCCTTCATTGTTGAAGTGACCAACTCACTGCCCTACAAACCAGCATTATTCCAGTGAGGTGACATAAGCTTTCTCACAAACTGCCTGGGATTCTTACTCTGTTCTCAGGGAGTCTTCCATGCAAGCCGAGGTTTTAAACCACAGTCTCTTCCTGAGAGCAGCAGTAGCAGAGAGATTGGATGATCTAAAATCTAATGCATAGAGAACACTCTCCTTCAAGCCACACGGCACTGCGTCTCATGCCTATAATCCCACCATTTTGGGAGGCCAAGGCAGGTGGATTACGAGGTCAAGAGGTCAAGACTATCCTGGGCAACATGGTGAAATCCCGTCTCTACTAAAAATACAAAACAATTAGCTGGGCATGGTGGCACACGCCTATAGTCCCAGCTACTGGGGAAGCTGAGGCAGAAGAATTACTTGAACCCAGTTAGCGGAGGTGGCGGTGAACCAAGATTGCACCACTGCACTCCAGCCTGGCGACAGAGTGAGACTCCATCTTAAAAAAAAAAAAGTATATGAAAGAAAGGGAGGTAGGAAGGAGGTCTTTACTTTGCTTTATGGAGCATAATAGAGACCTTTAGGGATGCTTTTGCAAAACAGAAAGGTGAAGGCAACATTTAAGTTATCTGACAAACGCCTCTCTCGCAACGGGGAAAACAGAAAAGTCCATGAGTCCAGTTATAAGCCCTGTGCTCAGTGGCGTTCAAAGGAAAGAGAGTTGGAGGACTGGCATTCGTTGCTCTTCCCTAGTGAGAAGTAGCTTTAGCAGTAATTCACAGATCCTGATGTTGGCCAGGAAACCACCAGCTTCTAGGGACGATTTGGACACATAATATAGTTATGGTCTTCATGATGCAGAATTGCTATGAGGACTCAAGAGAGAACACTTGCAGGCTCTTGACAAATGGTAACTATTATTTCTACTGAGCTGACCTCATCTGAAATCCTGAGATCCCAGGAAATATGTGTATCTTCCATGCCCAACATTTACTAGAGATTTCTCCTTCAGTGGCTTCTTAGTCCTATATCTACATGTACTGTGGATGCCAGCCCAGGCTCTAACAAACCCTAAGGAAACTACTCCCTTCTCACAACTCTGCCAAAGTGGTGGGTCTAGGTGACTGTTTGTGCCCACAGAGGGTATTGAAGTGGACATACAATCTGAAGGGACAAATACATAGGCTGGGAAGTCACTTTGGTCTAATATAAAAGGTGAACTAGGCCAATCAGACTCCTCTCTAGAAATGTGGAATTGGGAGAGTGAGAAACTGGGTTGATTGGTAGCAGAGCCATAAAGAATGTGGTTGGCCACATCAATGGCAGAACTCCCTGTGAGGGCTGAGAGCTTTCTGCTGTGGAGGCTTTGCAGGGCTGCCTTGATTTCAAAACCACTCTCCCATAAAGTCTGGCTGCTCAGTCGTTCCGCTCATGGACACCATAAACATCTCTCCCAATACTACTAGTGTTGTTTTTGTGAGTCAGTGTCTCACTCTGTTACCCAGGCTGGAGTGACATGGTGCAATCATGGCTCACTGCAACTTCAAACTCCTGGGCTCAAGCAATCCTCTCACCTCAGCCTTCTGAGTAGATGGGACAGGCACGTGCCACCACATCCAGCTAATTTTTTACTTTTTGTAGGAACAGGAATCTTGCTATGTTGCTCATGCTGGTCTTGAACTCCTGGGCTCAAGTGATCCTCCTGCCTCAGCCTCCCAAAGTGTTGGATTAAAGGTATGAGCCACCATACCCAGCCTTCTTCCAGTATTACTAAATATGTCCTTTTTTTTTTGAGTTAGCTTGAATAAGTTTCTGTTTCCCTTGACAAAATATCCTTTGTTAAACTAGCACCTGCTTTTGGGAAGAACATGCAAATAGAATTATGTCTAAATGTTCTAAGCATTTCCAGTCCAAGGAATTGTGTTAATACTTAATTATAGGTGAGCCACAGTGGCTCACACCTGTAATCCCAGCACTTTGGGAGGCCAAGGCAGGTGGATCACTTGAGCTCAGGAGTTCAAGACCAGCTGGGCCAACATGGTGAAACCCTGTCTCCACTAAAAATACAAAAATTAGCCAGGCATGTTGGTGCACACCTGTAATTGCAGCTACTTGGGAGAGTGAGGCAGGAGAATTACTTGAATCTGGGGCGGGGGAGGTTGCAGTGAGCCAGTGTTGCACCACTGCACTCCAGCAACAGAGTGAGACTCCATCTCAAACAATAACAAACAAACAAAGAAAACCCCAAAAAACAATTTAATTACACAATGTAGTAAATCCTGTTGGTTCCTGACTTAGGCCTTCCTGATTTCCTCCTACTATAGAAATTGGGAGAGTTAAAGCTCTTGCTCTCCCAACATCTCTTGCAGCTAGGTCATGTGATGCAGTCTGGCCAATGAGAGGCGAATGAATATCTTTTGGGACAGAAGCTGCCCTCGTTTCCATCTTTGTATAGAAATGTCAGGCTTAGACCTGCTGTCACCACCTTGTAACCATGAATGGAAAGTCAAAGAAATGCAGAGATGCTACAAGCCCTGGCACAGTGGAGGTGCTGAACCAACACCAGCAGCCACCGGATTTCAGCCTTTTTACTGTGTGAGAGAAATTGACCTCTTAACTATTAGGTTGGTGCAAATACTATCAGTTAGACTTTCCCGTAGAAATGATACACCATGAAAGTCAACATAGAACTTGATACCGTTTCCTATATGGTAACATACGTGATTTTTAACCAAATACATGACCAACTTTTTGTAAATTAACTTCTCCAAACATCAGCTGAATGACAGAAGCTGATCTGTCATTAGGTAATTAGTCTAACGAGGGGATAAGGTATACATGAATAATGAGTAGGTCAGGTGCTATGGCTCGTGCCTGTAATCCTAGCACTTTGGAAGGCCAAGACGGATGGATCACTTGAGGTCAAAAGTTCAACACCAGCCTAACCAACATGGAGAAACCCTGCCTCTACTAAAAATACAAAAATTAGCTGGGTATGGTGGTGCACACTCATAGTCCCAGCTACTTGAGAGGCTGAGACAGTAGAACACTTGAACCCAGGAGGCAGAGGTTGCAGTTAGCCAAGATCGTGCCACTGTACTCAAGCCTGTGCAACAGAGCAAGACTCTATCTCAAAACAACAACAGACAAACCAACCTGTGACTGAAGACAGACAGTGAAAACACTGTAAGTGGAAGCTGCTCTACGTATAACCCAAGTAGGTAGAGACATTACTTCTGGTTGGGCAAGGAGGAAATCAGGGAAATCTCCACAGAAAAGCATCTAAGCTAAACTCTAGAGGGAAAAAAAGGATCTGGATGTTTGGAGTTGAGGAGGAAGGGCATTCTTGGCGAATTGAATAGTTTGAGCAAATACAAGAAACTGAAGGTCATGTTAGGGAAACAGCAAGTTCATTTTGGCTGGTACAAAGGAACGGGGATCAGAGGAGAAGACCAGACCAAATTATAACGCCTTGAACACTAAGTGAATGGGAGTCTGAGCTTTACTCTCCGTGCCTGGGCTGCCACTGAAGGTTTCTGAGCAATTAGAAGTCAGAGCAGTTTTATAGGAAAATTCACCTGATTGCAATGTGTAGCATGGATTGGTGGAGGTAGAACGTGCCAGGAGGAGGCTGTGCAGCCATCTGGGTATGAGGTGAAGAGGGTGTGAACCAGAAGAGTCAAAGTGAGAATGGAGTGGGAAAAAGACACAGACGTGAGAGACACAGAGATACAAAGATACAGCGGAAGTACATGTAACACAAGTCAGCTACTGTCTGGATATGGCGTGTGAGTCACAGGAAGAATCATGCCAAAAATATTTTATTGTAAAAAATATCAACAAAATCCTCATGTAGTACCTCTGGAGCTGAAGACAGGAATGGCTTAATGTAGATGTTGGAGTCATGCACCTTCAGGTCATGGTCCCCAAGTCCCCTGGTCACTCCAATAGTTGCCATTACCCGGGCCTAGGGGTATAAGCAGAGGGTCATCAGAAACACGCACACCTAAAGCATCCCATCCACTGTGGCTGCTGGGCTAGGGACAACCAGAGAAGTTTCCAGTTCCTCCCACCCATCTTTCCAGGCCCCCTGCTGCTAACATATGTGGGTAGCTCTCACCAAGAAAGGGCTCACCAAAATCACTTCTGTATTTGAGGAGCGCTTCTTCTACCCATTATTTTAAGCTTGACAGGTTCCTGCTGTTTCTTTTCAGCTTTCTTTTTTGGAGACTGGAAGGAAGGATGTCTAATACACTAACTCCAATGCATGTGTGATTCTATGGCTATAGAAATCAGTGCACATCAAACCCAATAGGATCCATCCATCCATCCATCCATCCATCCATCCATCCATCCACTCACTCATCTTTCTGTTACATATCCACTGTACAATATTTGCTGAACACCACCTATGTCCTTAGTCCTGTGATAGGCACTGGTAAAAGGTGTAAAAAATCAGAACAGCTCTTGGCCTCCCAGAGTTCACCTATTATGCTTTATGGCTGGAGAAAATAAACATAGCAATTCTACACTCTATCCTGCTAACATCTCCTCAAATTCCCTCTGGGTGGAAAGGAACAAAATGTCACCAGTGCTGTGACATAGCTACATGGAGACCTCAGGGCTGAGACCTCATGTTAAACTGTTTTTGAATGGTGTAAGGAAGCAACGCTATTATACCAATGTGTACACAGTCAGCTTAAATATCTCCTGTGATGCCAAAGATTTGATTTACCCAAACACTTACTGGGTGCCTACTATGTATCTACATCATGTGGTGGGGGCACGAATGTCTAAGGTCTCGTCCCTACTATAATCTTGGGACCAGGCATGGTGGCTCATGCCTGTAATTCCCAGAACTTTGGGAGGCTGAGGAAGGTGGATTACTTGAGGTCAGGAGTTCAAGACCAGCCTGGCCAATATGGTGAAACCCCATCTCTACAAAAAATACAAAATTTGGCTGGGCATGGTGGTGGGCACCTGTAATCCCAGCTTCCCAGAGGCTGAGGCACAAGAATCTCTTGAACCTGGGAGGTGGGGCTTGCAGTGAACTGAGATCATGTCACTGCACTCCAGCCTGGGTGACATAGCAAGACTCTGTCTCAAAACAAAAAAAACAAAAACAAAAAAAACCCAAAAGAAACTTAGTAAGAGAGATAAGAGGGATATGTCTAATTAATAACACATAAAATATGGCTAAGTACTGAAAAACACGGGTTATGAAAATTTAGTGGAGGTAAAATTTCTACTGAGCAGGCTTCACGGAGGAGGTGGCACTACACCTAGCACAGAAAGGTGGACTGCACAGAGACAGGCGACACAGAGGGATGAAGTGAAAGTCATCTTGGGTGAAACAAAGCAGTGTCCTAACCCTGAATCATCAAAAATATATCCTGTGCAGTCTCATAGTTCAAAGACCTAAGCTTGAATCCTCACTCTATTACCTGGGTGATAAGAGTAATTACCTCCTATGAGTGAGGATGAAGTAAATAAATGCTGAGAAACACAGCAATCTAATATACTGTCTTTATCTTCATCCTACTCTCTCAACAGGGCTGTGAATTTTGAAGCTAGCCTTGGTTCAGAGGGTAGGCAGAGTTTACATTAAGCAGAAATGAAACCATGACACCTTTTTGAGGGCAAGAGTCAGAGGGGATAAAGACATGAGATGTCACCGGCCACAGTAGCTCACACATGTAATCCCAGCACTTTGGGAGGACAAGGCAGGAGGATCACTTGACACCAGGAGTTCGAGACTAGCTGCAGCAACATGGCAAAACCCCGTGACCACAAAAAATACAAAAATTAGGCTAGTTGTGGTGGCTCATGCCTGTAATCCCAGCACTCTGGGAGGCTGAGGCGGGTGGATCACCTGAGGTCAGGAGTTTGAGATCAGCCTGACCAACATGGAGAAACCACATCTCTACTAAAAATACAAAATTAGCCAGGCGTGGTGGCACATGCTTATAATCCCAGCTACTTGGGAGGCTGAGGCAAGAGGATTGCTTGAATCCAGGAGGCAGAAGTTGTGGTGAGCTGAGATCGCACCATTGCACTCCAGTCTGGGTGACAAGAGCAAAACTCTGTCTCAAAAAAAAAAAAAAAAAAAAAAAGCATTGGTAGATGCCACCACTCAGCCAGGGGTTGTATCTACCAATAAACGCAAAATGGAGACACTGTGGCCTTTAAATAGGCCAACAGGTACAATGACAGAACTTGCCACCTGCCCATCACAAGATCGTCGAGCTTAAATTACCTGAAATGCTTGAGGAACATGATGTTTTGGGGAATTGAACTTTTTAGTGAAATTAGAAAACCCTTGCTCCTTCAACTCTTATTGCTATGAACTTTGCCTGTTGTACTAAGGAAAGTATACTTAACATAACTGAACAGCTTCTTTAATATGTACGCATTTATGTCAGGTACCAGGCCAGACAGGAACTAGAAAAACAGGGGTAAAAGGAGGTGCTCCTGAGTTTACTGGAACTCACTGGATGTTAAAGGATAATACAGAGAATCTCGACCCCACAAAGAAATGGAGCAGCAGGCATGTCACTGGGCTCAATGATAGTCATTAATGGTGCCCACTGTACCGAAAGGCACAACTATTTATATGCCTATTGGCCCTGGCATGATTCTTAACCAGACATGATGATTTGAAAGGTGTTTACTTTCATGAATGGGGCATGTTCGTTTAAAAAATGATTCCTACATGGATCGATATTTGTGTTTTGTATTTCTCCTTGAAAACAAAACACAAGTCTTGAAATGTCTCCTTGCATTGAAATCACTGCTAGTCTACACCGAGCCCAAAGCCTAATCATGTTCGTTCTCAAGCTCTTGCTCTGAGACACACACACACACACACACACACACTCACTCACTCACTCACTCTGGCCATGGAAGGCACCCTTTGGTTTTCTTGTGAGTCATTTTTTCTTGATAAAAACTATCGAGTGCTGAAAAAAATGAAACATGAAAAAGACTCTTCTTAATGTGACCACGTTTTTCACTTCTAATTGCAATGCTTTACACCGAGCTGAAATGTATTAGTGCATAGAGGAAGAATGCAATGCTTCAGACGGTGTTCGTTCTTACTGGGAAATAGATTCCAAGCTTCTTTGTCTCTATTCCAGGATTTCAGCCTCCTCCAGGCCTCTACTCAGAGACCGCTTTGGGATCCACAGCCTTCCTTTGGGTCAATAATGTGCTGTTCAGGGCTGGGTTCTGACTGGGATCCTGGGAGCTGGGCTCTGGTCAATGTGATCCTGTAGTCTAACTGCAGTGAAGCTTTGGAGTCTCTTTCATGGAACAAGTGGCAAACAGACTTCCAAAGTCTGAACTTCCATGGTGGAGTCTGAGAGCGCTTGAAGCAGAGAGAAAGCCACGGCTCCACATCTGTGGCTGCCCCTCACTTGGCTGCGTGATCTGCCTGAGCTGTTTTAACCTCATAGTCCCAGCTGCCTCATCTGCCAAATGGATGTAACACAGCCAGCTTGACCTGCCTCCCTGCTTGTTGTCAGATATTAATGAGATGCTGTGTGTGAAAGTGGTCATGTTTAAACACTGTAAAAAGTTATTCAAATGAATTGGGAAGGGGAACGTTATTTTCACAAAATTGGCTTGAGTCCCTTGTGCTCACTGTCGACCTCCCACCCCCATCACTCCTTGGACCCTGAAGACAGGAGGCCTGAAGGATGATGGATGAGATATGCTTTCAAGCTGTCAAGGCTATAAAATCACAAGCTGCTGAGTGGAACACACGGACTGCTACAGGCTACGTGGAGAGGCAGTAGGATGGAGCCCTCTCCTCTCCACCCAGGGGAAGCACACTTGCCTACCTTCTTGCCTTCTCCATATATAAGGGGGAACTTCAAGTCCTCATCCTCAATGGTTTTGTATGCCCTGTAGGGGGATAAACAACATTTTTAAAAAGGTTTGCACTCAATTAGTGACCTGCTGCCTGGACATAGGCTGCTAGGGATGTCATTTTCTCTGAGACCCCATCCACTTACCACGGTGACCACCTCTTTCTTCAGAATTGTGTGTGTCTTTTAGCAAACCAGAAAATACTGTCTTTATATGCTTAAAGAGGGAGAAAATAAGTTGGCATATGCATAATTAGCAAGAAGGGGAGATGGGTTTCTGGCCTTAGTGTCTGTGTAATCATGAAATGACCTGGCAATATAACTAGATTCTCATCATTAATCCAAAACTGTGAGAAACAGCATCGCTAACTGCTTCCAGAGCGAGTTCTCACCGTCAGGGGCTGTTTATACCAAAACAGCCTTGTACTGGGATGGCTGGGGAAGGAATCTTTAGAGCCTGTTTGTCCTCTGCAAGGTTGAGAAAAAGTTCTTTGTTTCACAAGCGCTTTTAAATAGCCATGCAATACACAGCAAGAACCTTCAGTGTATGCCTCAGTGGTTTATTCCAGATGCCACGGCCCACACAGTGGAGGTGGGTAAGATTAAGGGGACACAGATGACAGAGACTGTGTCTTGCAATTTTGCTTATAATCAAGTTAAAAAACAGACAAGCAAATAAACAATTATTAGCCCAATTATTAGCTGTTTCTCCCCAAGCCTGTAGCTTCACCTTGTTCAGTCTTAGTTTCCTCATCTGTACAGTGAGGCTAACACGCAGGATACAGAGAGCTCAGTACAGAGCCTGCACTTCATAAGAACCCAATTAGTGGCAGTTACTACTAATACTTAGTAGATAATTAACACTTGGCATACCAGTTCACCTTTCTGCAAAATGGGGATAGCACTGCTCATAACTTCAAAGAAGTTATAAAAGATTAAGGAAAAGATGGGTAGGTTCTGCTGAGTTAGTGCTATAAGCAGATGCTTTTCTACAATAACATCTCCTGGCTGTATTAAGAAAACCTAATTTATTAAATGGCCCACCATTCCTGAGTATACCTAGGCTGCTTGGGAATGAATGTGAAATCAAATTTATGGAAGCTCTTGAGGTACAAAAGAATGTAACTCAATTTAAAAAGCATGCAACCCCAAAGTTAACGCAGGTCCATCCCCTGGAAGTTATTTGGATAAGTTGTCTTTCCCATGGGGTGGAGAATCAGTGAAGTTTTGGCACCAGATGCGCCTAAGCTGGAGTTCAGCATTGCCTGCTGTATACCCCTGCACAAGTGGATGTACTCTCAAGTGCTCAGGATCCTTATTAATCAATTAGGGCAAAATCTGGGGCTCATTTGTGAAATTGTTGCAAAGACTAAAATGAGGAAATGAATGTGAAGAGCTTAGGAGGTACTTAGCACTCTGCCTGGCACAACAAATGCTGCTGCTTGTCGAGTGAGCCCAGAAGTATTCTAGGAATTGAATCTTCAGAAAAGGAAATGTACTATTTCCTTCCCCCAAATCTACTAACTTAATACAAAGTGGAAATAACCACTTTGATGTTTTACATACTCACATTAACTATTTTAAACACTGTGGTATACGAGTCCCTGGGGGAACAAATAAAGCTATTATTAGAAGAATTAAAATTTTTTAAAGCTTTCCAGGTGATTCTAATGTGCAGCCAAGGTTGAGACCCACTACTGTTGACCAAGCATCAGTTAGCTAACATTCAAAATGATTCAACAACAGTCCCTTATCAGCTTGAACCTTAAGATGACAGACTACATGGCTCGAGGGAGAGGAGGAAAATGGCCTGAGAAAGGCCCTGAGATGAGCATGAACAGGAATTGGGGCCCCCATGTGGAGAGGGACATTTGGAGAAGAGGTGGCAGATGAGACCAGATGTAGAAAGGAGCTGGGCCTCGAGATCCAGGCACAGGAGGAACCTGGATCTGGTGTGTTAAGAGTTGGTTCTATGACTAGATATTCGTAGGAATTAAACAGAGGTAGAAGGCGGGAATTAAGCAAAGGCAGAAGGCTGCACCTCTAGAACCAATGACTGGATATTACCTAGAGCTCACAAGAGACAGGCGAAGAGCACTCTTAATAGGCTTCGAAAGGGAGTAAGAAAACTCTCTCACAAGCCAGGTCATTGAATTCTCACATGGCAGAGTGTTGCAGGAGCACGAACTCCATGTCCCACAACTCTGAAAGACACACACTTAGAGTTGTTACCCACAGGAGAAACCAACTGCAAATTTTAATATTACATGTTAGCTTCTGTTTATTTATCTTCGGGAACAACAAAACATTGGAAATAGAAACAATGGTGGAAAAGGAAGGTTTATTCTGCCCCGCCAGTGTTGGCTTTTTATCAGCTATGAGCATTCCCTCACCCCCAACAACTAATGACAGGGGGAACAGTGACCGATGAGGAGGAAAAGTACAGTACCCTTTGCCCACACCTCTTTCTGAATCCTAAGCACATTTCACCATATAAAGTTAAGTGGACTTCCATCCACAGTTACAAAGCCTTGAGTAATAAAGTGTAAAAGTACTCAAGAGTTAAAACTGGCAACTTGATTAGAGTTTGTATACATTAATAATAGCAGACAGTAAGAACAGCAGCTATGATTTACTGAGCATCTTCTACCTGCCAGACACCAGGCTCCGTGCTGACTTACAGTATCTAAAATCTCTCAATGGCCTTGCATTGTCCTATCTCACAGATGAGAGAACTGAGCCCAGAGAGGTTAAGTTACTCCCTGCATGGCCTTAAAACTGGACTTGGACTTTTCCAGAAAACATGACAAAGAAATGTGATACCGGGACTTAGCTTTGGGAATTTCCCATTCTATCCCAAGAGTCTGAAATGAGACCATTATTGTTCACTCTCATTGGGTGATCAGCTGGTATCTGATGAAGAAAAAGAGACTTTTGGCAAAAGAGGAAGGGAAGTTCCTGTGTGAGTGGCAAAAGAACAGAGGGATCATGTCTGCACAAAACCAGTGGCTACTCCAGTCCTGGGTCTACAGGGAAGAAGACAGGGAAGTCAGCAGAAGTGATGGCCCATGTTCTTAGACCTGCAGCTGCTTTTCTGGCCATCTCACCAGAAATGAGTGACTACAGAGTCAACCAAGCCCCCTCCCACAGAGAACAGACCCTCCTCAAACTGCTCTCAGTTTAAGGAGGCCGTCTGAGTTCTAGCCCATTTGGAAGGCCTGTCTGCTATTTTATATTATTGCCCGTGTCAAGGCTACAGGTCTGAATTTATGCCTCCAGCTTGCCCTTGGTTTCCTTCCTTCTTTTTGGGGGGAAGTAAGAAGACAGGAGAGTGTTTGAAGCTTGGGAGTTCCAAGACATGGAGGTACTTTGGATCTGAGATGAATAGAGAGTGTCTAGTCATAGAAACAACTCTTCTACACCAGATCCTAAGATTTTTGAAATCCTAACTATTTTTTGCAGCACTGTTTACAATAGCAAAGACCTGGAACCAACCCAAATGCCCATTGATGATAGACTAGATTGGGAAAATGTGGCACATATACACCATGGAATATTATGCAGCAATCAGAAATGATGAGTTCGTGTCGTTTGTAGAGACATGGATGAATCTGGAGAACATCATTCTCAGCAAACTGACACAAGAACAGAAAATGAAATACCGCATATTCTCACTCATAGGCGGGTGATGAAAAATGAGAACACATGGACACAGGGAGGGGAGTACTAAACACTGGGGTCTATTGGGGGGAAAAGGGGAGGGCCAGCGGGGGGGGAGGTGGGGAGGGATAGCCTGGGGAGAAATGCCAAATGTGGGTGAAGGGGAGAGAGGAAGCAAAACACACTGCCATGTGTGTACCTACGCAACTGTCTTGCATGTTCTGCACATGTACCCCAAAACCTAAAATGCATTAAAAAATTAAAAAAAAAAAAGAATCCCAAAAACAAATCACTTGCTAGTTTTACAATAATATGACTGACCAGAGATTATATCACTTGTTACAAGACAGCAAAACTGAAAGACTTTTCTAGACAAACTCTTATTAATATTTTGGGTCAATTCCTTAATGAATATTTATGAGGCCAACTGAAAAAAGGATGAGATGAGAAAAAAAAACTCAAGGCTTAAAAGGGTTGCTAAATTCTTGGCTCTCTGTAACTGAGAGGCATTCTTCTCAGAAGTTTCCATTAAATACTTTTTTTAAAGTAATAGTTTCCTTTGTAACGTTGATCGTGCAAAGCTGTAAAAACAAGCCACTGTTAGTCTGGACCTACTGGAAGAAGCAGTTCAGCATTAAGTAAGAATGAAATGCCACCAAGTCAGCTGTACCCCAAGTGTAGAAATCCCTTCTATGATATACCCTTGGTTACTGGCCTCTGCTGAATGGACTGCTGCAGATAGTCACTGTCCTAAGAGTTTTATGGTACTTAATGTCAGCCCATTCCACTGGAGAACAGCTCTGGGAAATTCTTTTTTTTTTTTTTTTTTTTTTTTGAGATGGAGTCTCACTCTGTACACTCTGTAGCCCAGGCTGGAGTGCAGTGGTATGATGTTGACTCACTGCAGCCTCTGCGTCCTGGGTCCCGGTTCAAGCAGTTCTCCTGGCTCAGCCTCCTAAGTAGCTGGGATTACAGGAATGCGCCATCATGCCCAGCTAATTTTTGTATTTCTAGTAGAGACGGGGTTTCACCATTTTGGCCAGGCTAGTCTTGAACTCCTGACCACATGATCCGCCCACCATGGCCTCCCAAAGTGCCGGGATTATAGGCATGAGCCACTGCGCCTGGCCAGTTCTGGGAAATTCTTTCTTAAACTGGCCCAACCCCATTGGGCCATCTGGAAAAACATGAAATAAATCCAGACTATTTTCTGCTTGAGAGCTCTGCAACCGTTTGAAGAGAGCTATCTCAAAGTTTCCATTTCCTTAGCTCTTTTAACTGTGCTTCAAAGGACCTGGGGGACCCTAACCATTGAAGTCCCCATGCATCCAACAAACATTCACTGAGCACTGACTATTGTGGTAGTGACCCTCTAGG